AAGACCCACTGCTGTTGAGTTGATTCCAGCTCAGTGACCCTGTAGGACAGACTAGACCCCCATAGGGTTTCTGAGGCTGCAAATAATTAGGGAAACAGACTGACCCATCTTTCTATCCCAAACCTTGGCCTTGAAGGTTTTTGTTCCCAGTGCTCGGAGCATTGTTTGTGCTTGTTGTGTCGTTTTGGGCCACCAGAGGGCAGCATGGCCTTACACCTCCACATACCCGCCACTCTGGCCTCTGCTGCAAAGCCTGACCCCATCAGACTCTGTCCCCCCATTTTAAACAGCTGTTTTCTAGTAACACCTTTATTATTTTGAAATAAAATGACTTTTGAATAAAATAGCCTAAGAAAGTAATTAAGTATGCCCTAATACTATAAGGAAGAAAGGAACGTAAGTTTTAATAAATCATTGTGTTTCAGTGTGTGCTGGTTGGACAGCACTAGGAGAACACAGTCCATAGGTGGATCGTGGGGAATGAAGAATTAGAATGCAGATGGAAGTAAGTACTGGTGACAAAAATATACCGTGGTTTTCTAAAACAGTAAACAACTCTTGGTGAAGAATAAAATAGAATACAATTGTCCTTTTATGTAATGTGTTACTGTATTCTTAGGAAATTCAGTGTATGTTAAAATTGAAAAAAAAGTTCATTTCTGTATTAAAGAGTTAGGTTCTGTGCTCTGATGATTATGAACAGACTTTTTTCATGGTCCCGCCAGAGTCCTGGTGTGGCACTGTAGGATAAGCACTGGATCATTAAGTCGGTTTGAACCACGAGGTCGGTGGTTCAAACTCACTAGCCACTCACTCCTTGGAAACCCTAGACAGGGGTGCCATGAGTCTTAACCATCTCAATGGCACTTAAAAACAAGACCACGGATGCCCAGAATTCCTGGTGAAAACAGTTAATGCGCTCTGCTGCTGAGAGGTTGGAGGTTCAAACCCACCCAGACGAGACTCAGAGGAAAGGCCTGATGATCTACTTGCAAAAAAAAAAAACCCAACAACCGTTGGAAACTGGGGCAGTTTGCCATGACACATGGAGTGACCCTGTGTCAGAAATGATGATGACATCTGATTTGGGTTTTTGGTTGGTTGGTTATCTGTGTTTTTACTTCACCTGAGGGCCTCAAAGAACTCTGTCTCACCCACTGCCACTAAGCCGAGAGAATCCCTCCCCATTGTCCTGAATGGGGATCTTGACATTGGAAGGCCTGTCTTTGTTTACTTTTAAATGTTTTATGGTGGTTTAGTCTTGGTGTGACGCTGTAGGATGAGCACTGAACTGCGAGGTCTGTTTGAACCATAAAGTCGGTAGTTCAAACTCACCAGCCGCTCCTCGGAAAGTATAAAGGGTCACTATGAGTTGGAACCGACTTGATAGCCAGTAACAACAAACAACAGGTGAAAGTTTACCAAGTGACTTGACTTCCCACGCAGTAATTTATATAGATTGTTCTGTGACCTTGGTTCCATTCCCCACAATGTGTCAGCTGTCTCCACTCTGGGGGTCCCTAGTTCTCTTCATTCAGTTTCTCTGCCTTCTTTACTGCTTTTGGACACGTGCTGCCCTGTTGGTCTCGTCTAGTTGACTGTTCACTTACAGGCCTGTGACCAGACGGTGAACTCTAGCTTGACTTCAGTTCTATGTTAGAAGGGCACCAGGCTTTACTAAGACAGCATTAAATAGACATCTTTTCCTCTGGATAGACCGGTTTAGAAACTGGTGTGTCTTGGGGGCGTGTCCCCAAGATATGCCTAAGGACATGTAAGCCCAAAAAGGCAATTCACTTCATCCTTTTCTTTGGTTCCTTCTACAAGTGATCCCTGCTAAATAAATTGGCCACCCACTTAACTGCACTAGAGTCAGGGGCTCCCCCATCCTGTCACCATCCCAAAGCACGGCTTCAGAGATTGTCTCTTATACACCTTTTGTGAATTGCCTAACATAGTCTTGGTTTGGTCAGAACCAACCTAGCTCTGAACGTCACCATCTTCAAAAGCTGCCATTTGGGTGGGCTCATCAAAATGATCCTGTGCATCAGAAAGGACCCTTCTGCTTCCCAGCCCTAGGGGGCCTCATCAGTGTGTGTGGGTTTGTGTGTGGGAAGCTTTCAGAGCCAGTCTTGGGCACCTCCTACCATGCTGGTTCAACAGCTAGGCTAAGGCCCAGAAAGGGCTGCATCTCTGGGTGGCCAGTGTTTGTTCCTGATGATGGTGATCGTCTCTTATGTCAGGAGGGTGCTGGCACTAACCATACCTCACCGTGTCTGGACCTTGGTTCTCTGTAAGATGAAGGCACTAAATGGATCAGCCAGGCCCAGGCTTCACTTCCTAAACTCAAGTTACACCTGCACAATGTTTATCTCCCCATACATCTGTTTAAATGATTCAGTTTAATGTAAACACCTAAAGAAAATGTTATGTCACAATTTTAAATAGAAAAACTTAAATGGAAGAATGGACATTTGATGTAAAGAGAAGAAAAGTAAAAATAGAAACAACAATAATAGAAAGTGATGAAATCGTACGGTGACTGCCAGGGCTCCGAGCCTGTGACCTGCTCCCTATCTGATCAAGGAGACCAGCCAGTGCTGGGCAGGGGTGAAAACACACTGCCACAAGACATGTTTCCACACATCAGAGAAAAGCAACCCAAACTTATTGCAGATTCCGCCTCAGTGACCCTAGATGACACAAGAACTGCCCCATAGGCTTCTGAGGCTGTAATCTTTACAGAAGTAGACTGCCACAGCTGTCTCCTGCAAAACAACTAATTGGTGGATTCAAACCACCAACCTCTAGATTAGCAACCAGGCACTTTGACCACTGTGCCACCAGAGATCCCTGAGAAAAGCAAAGGGGCTACTTTTTCACCACGTGATGTGTAGTAGTGCCTGAAATCGACATGTGAGATCCTGCACCTGAAGGGGTTTGCACAGGATATGCACTGTTTCAATCTGTTGGATGTGGATCTGAGTCGGAACTGACACAAAAACACCTAACAACAACAGCATTAACCTAAAAAGGACAAACCACAGATATGATGGTTCAAATCCATCAGCCAATCCTCAAGAGAAAGATGAGGCAATCTGCTCCCGTAAAGATGAATAGTCTTGGAAACCCTAAGGAGCATTTCTATGCTGTCCTACAGGGTCGCTATGAGTCAGATTTGGCTTGATGGCAGTGGGTTTACTAACCTAGAGGTTGACAGTACACCTACCTAGTGGCACACAAAGAACATGACAAGGTGCTTCTGTGAAGAATCCTGGCAAGAAAATGACAGCAGTTCTAACACATGGGGCCACCATGAACCGGAACTGAATTGGTGACATCAGCTGTCGTTTTTCTGTTTGAATTTGACAACAACCCTGCCTCACACTTTGGAATAATTACCAAACTCTGCCTCCCCTAACTCTGACACTGAGAGTTCACAGACGTGTTTGTGTGTGTGTGTGGGGAGCTATTCAAATGAACTTTGTTGATTAACTCCTCCAAGAAAAACTTCTAATCATTTTTTTATCTTTATCAGAAATAATCCTTTTTATGTGTTGTCAAGGGAGATTTTGTTGACCACTATACCTCTTATATGGGCTCTGATAGCGTAGTGGTTACGAATCGGGCTGCGAACTACAAGATCAGCAATTAAACTACCAGCTGTTCCATGGAAGAAATATGAGGCTTTCTGCTCCCATAAAGATTTGCAGCCTCGGAAACCCTGTGCACGGTTGCTATGAGTCAAAACCGACTCCACGGCACATAACAGCAACAATAACAACATACCCCTTATAGGGAGTCCTGCTGTGGCGCTGTGGGTTAATGCGCCAGACTGCAAAGCCGCTTGAACTGCTCACCAGAAGCTCCTCGGAAACCCTATACAGGGTCACTATGGGTCAGAATTGATTCAATGACACTTACCAACAACATATCTCTTATAAGGAGCTCTGGTAGCATAGTGGCTATGAGTTGGGCTGCTAACCTCAAGGTCAGCAGTTTGATACTACCAGCAGTTCCCTGGGAAAAAGATGAGGCTTTCTGCTCCCCTAAAGATTCATAGCCTCAGAAACCCTATACAGGGTTGCTATGGGTCAGAACTGACTTGATGACACTTAACAACAACATACTTCTTATGGTATGGCGCTGTAGGATAAGCACCGCCGGTCGGTTTGAACCATAAGGTCGACAGTTCAAAATCACCAGCTGCTCTTTAGAAACCTTATTCAGGGTCACTATTAGTTGGAACTGATTGGACAGCACTTATCAACAACAATGCCTCTAAGTAGCTGATTAATAATCAGATAGCTTCTGATCAGAAGACATAATGTTGCCATGCTGAAATGACATAACTTTAGTTAGACACAAAAAAGTTGGTACTGCTGTTTTACCAAAATATTTGCATTATTTGTTTTTTTTAAGAAATGGATGAAGTTTTCTGGGTCCCCTCATTGTTTATTAGGACCCCAGGTTAAGAGTTGCTGCTCTAAGCCAAGTTCAAGGACAGAGCGGATACAGGCATGCCCTTGGAGACTACAGCAATGAAGTGAATCACAACAAACGGAATCATGTAAATTGGTTTCCCCGTGCCTATAGAACTTACGTTTACATTGTACTATAGTCTATTAAAGAATGGAAAGACAGAAAGATTGTAAGAATTACCAAACTGTGATGGAGATAATAGCTGTCTCATATATTTGTACAAATAATAGCCCTGATCAAGAATATTCTAAACAAAACCGTGATTTCTAGCACTGATTATAGAATTTCCCCTGATCATCTGATTGGGCCACAGGTCTATTTAAACTTCAATTAAGCTTTACTTTTAAAGCTCTCTCCTCTTCACTTTCCCGTGTGCCAAAGCATGATGGCAAGAGTGTCGCCAATTCCTCAAATACACCCAAACAAGTATATCTCGAATTATGGTTTGTTCACTTTGAGGATTCAGAATACATTATCAGCCAGGATACATGAAACAAGGTTTGGAATGAGATAGAGATTTAAGCCTCATTGTGTTCTGAGTCGCACTGCACTTGGAGAGTTTGCATGACTATAGCAATGATTTCTGGAAGCTCTCTGTCCACACTGATTTCGATGAAGTTTTCTGGAGCTGATGGGGCCTCCAGAGTGCTGAACTGGGACTGCAATAATTCAGGGGGCATAAAATGCCCTTTTCTTTTGAGTAAGCGTTCAAAGATGATCTCAAATGACCCACTCAGATGGACCACAAAGAGCTTCACCTCATGTGGCTTTTCTTCCTTGCCTGACTCATCACATTTCTGAGGGACAGCATCGACGCCTCGTTTTAAGATGTCTCTGTACATTTTCTTCAGAGCTGAACAAGCAAGAACCACATGCTGGCCTGCGGCTACATCTCTGTTTAAAAAGAGAGAAAAGGGTTAAAGAATGAAGACAATGAAAATAATCTGTCTCGATTCTAGGAGGTGCTGAGTGTTGTAAACATAGTTTTACACTCTCCTCCTTAGGCGGCAGTATGGTAGGAAAGCTGGGGGGAACGTTACCAGAAGATGCAGAGCTGAAGAAGTCAGGAGAAAAGGGAGCAGCTGTCCCTGGTGGTCAATGCGAGGAGGATAGAAGTTTCCAGGGATGGTCGGAGAAAACAACCAAACTTGAAACTCTAGGGTTAGAGAGATGAAATTGTAACAGCAAGTTGGCTATCTCATAGAAGTTGATTTGGGAATTGAGGCTTCTGAGGGTCATCCTTTGGTTCTATGAAACACAGACTTGAGAATTAGTGGGTGGAGTTTAGCATCAGAAATAAATGTATTCCCTTGAACCTTCAACTCTTCCAAAGGGCTGTGACTGAGAGCTTGTTTATTCTGGGTGTAAAGGGCAACTCACTTTAATTGGACTTATCAGGAAAGACCAGTTACTAGAAAAAAGATGGACGTATTTCTTTTTTTCTTTCTTAATTTTTTTTCCCCCCATTTGTTCTTTTTTAGCACTTCCAACTTTCTGAGTTTTATTCCATTTGATCTCATATGGTTGCCTGTTGTACGTAGCGCACATTTCCCAGTGTTGTTGTTCACCTTCTGGTGTGCTGTTGTAGGGTCAGCAGTGGACTGTGATCCATAAGGTAGGCAGTTCAAGCCCATCAGCTGTTCCTTGGAAACCCTATGCAGAGTTGCTACAAGTTGGAACCAACTCAGTGGCACTAACAGTGACACTGTTCACCTTATAGGCCTGTCATTTGGTTGAAAGTTGAACCATGGGAGCGACTTAATTCCAGGTGTGAAGTTAGCCTCGGGGTGCTACCAGTGTCGAGTTGACCTGTCAACCTGGTCGTTAGGATTTTGAGGTCTGTCCTGCATTTTTGTCCCACTCTATCCAGGCACCACTCGTCTATCAGTTTGTCGTACTGTGGTGGTCTGCAGGTTGCTGTGATGCTGGAAGATATGCCACTGGCATTTAAAATACCAGCAGGGTCATCCATTGTGGACAGGTTTCAGTGGAGCTTCCAGACGAAGACAGACTAGGAAGAAGAAGAGGCAGACTACTTCTGAATGAACACTGTCAGACATAGTGCTGGAAGATGAAACATTATGAATAGCACCAGAATATTGTGAGCAATGGGCTTAAGCATAACAACAATTGTGAGTATTGTGCAGGACAGGGTAGTGTTTCGTTTTATTGTGCATAGTGTCTCTGTGAGTCGGCACCTAACAGCAAAAACTCTCCAGGATCTCCTATTGTGGTCCCTTTCAGAGCAGTCAGCAGTGATAGCTGGACACCATCTAGTTCTTCTAGTCTCAAGGTCTTGAAGGCTGGAGTTAACATGTCTCATCAGTCCATTGGACTAATGGTTTCCACGCATCTTTGATTTTCTCCACTCTTCTTTGCTTTGGACAGGGAGTGACCAATAGTTACACCACAGATCAGAAGTTTTTAAGATCTCAGTTGCTACTCACCAGAGAAGGATGTAGAACATGTTCTTTGTGGATGATGTAATGACAGTTGATTTAGGTGTCTCTTGGGACTATGGTCCCTGCCCCCCAGGCCAAATGACTCAGTCTCTAAAGGTGTTTGGCTAAGGCTAAGAACTCTGTCCCCTGTTTGGTCTGCTATTTTTATGGATGTATTTACAGCACATGTAAATACATATGTAGAAATAGGATCTGTCAAGGTTATATATATATATATATATTCATGGTTATAGTCCTATTCACCTTCCCACCTCTGCTTAGCCCAAGTGTCTCTGTAGGTAATAGTATTTACCATTATTACCTTTACTCTTGTGTTCCTCCAATTGTCTTGGTTTTTCTTGATCATTCTTTGCTGACCTCCCCCTTACTGAATCTTGTGTTTCCCTTCTCCTAAGTGAATACGTGTCTACCTTTTACCTGAAGTCCTGGTGTGGTGCTCCAAGTTAATGTGCTGGACTGCAAGATTGGTTTGAACTACAAGGTTGGTGGTTCAAGCTCACCAGATGCTCCCTGTAAACCCTATACAGGGTTGCTATGAGTCAGTACCGACTTGATGGCACTTAACAACAACAACCTTTTACTTAATGATTTACTCTTCCTTCCACTACTGCCCTGGTGATCTTCAAATAATGTTTCTTTCTGTGTAAGTAAACCTTTTCTTCACTTTTTACAATAATGGTCTCATGTACTTGTTCTTTTGTGATTGACTAATTTCACCCAATGGTTCTGGTGTGGTGCTGTAGGAAAAGCACTGGACCATTAAACTGAAGGGTCAGCAATTCAAACCCACCAGCCACTCCCTGGAAACCCTGTACAGGATTGCTATGAGTCGGAACTGACTCGATGGCACTTTACAACAATTTCTCTCAGCATAATGTCCTCTAGGTACACCT